GTCTTAGGGCGCCTAGGGGAGGGGTCTTAGGGCGCCTAGGGAGGGATCTTAGGGCGCCTAGGGAGGGGTCTTAGGGCGCCTAGGGAGGGGTCTTAGGGCGCCTAGGGAGGGGTCTTAGGGTGCCTAGGGAGGGGATCTTAGGCCGCCTATGGAGGGGGTCTTAGTGAACCCCGACCCTGGGGGCGGCGGGGGTTTTAGGGCGCCTAAGGAAGGGGTATTAGGGCGCCTTAGGAGGGGTCTAAGGGCGCCTCGGGAGGGGGTCTTAGGGCGCCTTAGGAAGGGATCTTAGGGCGCCTAGGGAGGGGTTCTTAGGGCGCCTTAGGAAGGAATCTAGGGCGCCTAGGGAGGGGTCTTAGGGCGTCTTAGGAAGGGGTCTTAGGGCGCTTAGGGAGGGGTCTTAGGGCGCCGAGGGAGGGGGTATTTGGGCGCCTAGGGAGGGGTCTTAGGGCGCCTAGGGAGGGGTCTTAGGGCGCCTAGGGAGGGGTCTTTGGGTGCCTAGGGAGGGGGTCTTAGGGCGCCTAAGGAGGGGGTCTTAGGGCGCCTAGGGAGGGGTCTTACGGCGCCTAGGGAGGGGGTCTTAGGGCGCCTAGGGAGGGGGTCTTAGGGCGCCTAGGGAGAGGGGGTCTTAGGGCGCCTAAGGAGGGGGTCTTAGGGCGCCTAGGGAGGGGTCTTAAAGTGCCTAGGGAGGGGGTCTTAGGGCGCCTAAGGAGGGGTCTTAAAGCGCCTAGGGAGGGGGTCTTAGGGCGCCTAGGGAGGGGGTCTTAGGGCGCCTAGGGAGGGATCTTAAAGTGCCTAGGGAGGGGGGTCTTAGGGCGCCTAAGGAGGGGTCTTAGGGCGCCTAAGGAGGGGTCTTAGGGCCCCCACCTCCTCCTGGGGGACGGGAGGGCTAAGGTCTTATCGTATATCAATATTTTTGTTGAAATATTTGCCTTCATCGCGCCACCATACATGGTAATGACGCTTGCTTCTATAGTGACATCACTATCGTCTTATAAACCTAACTAATATTATTAGTATATATAAACAAATGATTGTGGAGACTATTAATATTTCCTTAAATGTAATATTATTTCTAATAAAATAATAGTATTGATAACAAATGATCGTGGGCATTATTGTTCGTGTGTGTAGAAGGAATGATATTGTTTATGTTGAATAGAAGCGTTGAATTTACTCTACATGAGTAATGGCTTGAAACACAAGCTTTGAACCAACAACTATTATAATTTATAATTATAATATAATAATCATGCATTCCTTCATGCTACATTTTACTTCCCGTTCCCCCCTCACCCTCCACATCATTTAGGGGGAACGGGGGTTTGTTTTATCCCCCTCACCCCCCCCCACATCATTTAGGGGGAACGGGGGTTTGTTTTATCCCCCTCACCCCCCCCCACATCATTTAGGGGGAACGGGGGTTTGTTTTATCCCCCTCACCCCCCCCCACATCATTTAGGGGGAACGGGGGTTTGTTTTATCCCCCTCACCCCCCCCCACATCATTTAGGGGGAACGGGGGTTTGTTTTATCCCCCTCACCCCCCCCCACATCATTTAGGGGGAACGGGGGTTTGTTTTATCCCCCTCACCCCCCCCCACATCATTTAGGGGGAACGGGGGTTTGTTTTATCCCCCTCACCCCCCCCCACATCATTTAGGGGGAACGGGGGTTTGTTTTATCCCCCTCACCCCCCCCCACATCATTTAGGGGGAACGGGGGTTTGTTTTATCCCCCTCACCCCCCCCCACATCATTTAGGGGGAACGGGGGTTTGTTTTATCCCCCTCACCCCCCCCCACATCATTTAGGGGGAACGGGGGTTTGTTTTATCCCCCTCACCCCCCCCCACATCATTTAGGGGGAACGGGGGTTTGTTTTATCCCCCTCACCCCCCCCCACATCATTTAGGGGGAACGGGGGTTTGTTTTATCCCCCTCACCCCCCCCCACATCATTTAGGGGGAACGGGGGTTTGTTTTATCCCCCTCACCCCCCCCCACATCATTTAGGGGGAACGGGGGTTTGTTTTATCCCCCTCACCCCCCCCCACATCATTTAGGGGGAACGGGGGTTTGTTTTATCCCCCTCACCCCCCCCCACATCATTTAGGGGGAACGGGGGTTTGTTTTATCCCCCTCACCCCCCCCCACATCATTTAGGGGGAACGGGGGTTTGTTTTATCCCCCTCACCCCCCCCCACATCATTTAGGGGGAACGGGGGTTTGTTTTATCCCCCTCACCCCCCCCCACATCATTTAGGGGGAACGGGGGTTTGTTTTATCCCCCTCACCCCCCCCCACATCATTTAGGGGGAACGGGGGTTTGTTTTATCCCCCTCACCCCCCCCCACATCATTTAGGGGGAACGGGGGTTTGTTTTATCCCCCTCACCCCCCCCCACATCATTTAGGGGGAACGGGGGTTTGTTTTATCCCCCTCACCCCCCCCCACATCATTTAGGGGGAACGGGGGTTTGTTTTATCCCCCTCACCCCCCCCCACATCATTTAGGGGGAACGGGGGTTTGTTTTATCCCCCTCACCCCCCCCCAACTCNGCCACATCACTAGTGTTGCCACATCACTTGTGTTGCCACATCACTTGTGTCGCCACATCACTAGTGTTGCCACATCACTTGTGTCGCCACATCCCTTGTGTCGCCACATCAATAACGTCGCCACCCGCATTCATGTTTCTGTAAATTACATATAAGTTTGCAGTGAAGAAAGTGAAGACAATATTTGTACATAACAAATAACATTTCTATTGCCCCATCCTAAGCCTGGGAATGAGAATTTAGAGCGGGCAGAAATGCGCTGTGTAAAAGGGGGTTATAATTAAGATTATAATATAAAAGGGGTTATAATTGGAGGACTAAATTCAAGTGAAGAAAATAAATTGCGCTCTTCTACAAATACTGATTGTCTGCAAAACATTTCCCTCGTTAGTTCTAAGCATTCAGATGCTTCTATAAAAGACGTGATTTCTTCCACAACCTCCCACGTACGTCGTAACAAAGAGAAGACTCGCAAGTGTCATGTCTGTGGTGCAGCTTTCCGCTTTAAATGTGATCTTGACCGACATATCAACGCAGTTCATCTTAAATTGAGGCCCTACAAGTGCGATTATGCATCCAGTGAAGTCTCTCATTTGCAAACCTATATTGGATACGATATTGGTTGCAGCAATACGCCTGAAACCGGTTCTGAAAATGAATTTGAAGAAGAAAATGATTCAATCACGATTGAAATTACCAGAATGGTGGGTGGAAACCTGACCTCCTAACTTGTACCGCGGCATCTCAACCTAGACCCTTGCCTCTCAACCTGGCCTTTGGTCTCTCAGCCTCCACCCTAGCCTCTCATAAGGACCTCGGCCAGTCATCCTGGACCCTGACCTCTCAACCTGGACCCTGACCTCTCAACTTGTACCGCGGCATCTCAACCTGGACCCTTGCCTCTCAACCTGGACCTTGGCCTCTTAGTCTCGACCCTGGCTGGCCTCTCAGTCTGGTCCCTGGCTTCTCAGTCTGGACCCTGGCCTCTCAATCTCGACTGTGGCCTCTCAACCTGGACCCTTCCGTCTCAACCTGGCCTTTCGTCTCTCAGCCTCCACCCCAGCCTCTCAAAATGGACCCCGACCTGTCATCCTGGACCCTGACCTCTCAACCTGGACCCTGGCCTCTCAACCTGGACCCTGGCCTCTCAACCTGGACCCTGGCCTCTCAACCTGGACCTTGGCCTCTCAGCCTCTCAAATGGACCCCGGCCTTTCAGCCTTTACCCCTGGCCTCCCAACCTGGACCCTGGCCTCTCAGCCAGGACATTCGCCTCACAACCTTGGCCCTGGCATCTTCGGCCCAACATCAAGGATGTTAGAAAAACACGAAATTTCTTTGAAAAATTTAATTTCGAATAGGGAATTTTTGCTGAAATACTGGAGTTTCTTGCAAGTTTCTCGGACTACTTATTTTTGCTAGCAAAAGTAATTTATAAAATGATGATAACCTATGCGAGCTATCATCCGAGCTATGTATAATATCATCCATATTTTGCGCTCAAAAGC